CATAGGATTAAAACTACGAAGGTGGAAATAGTTGAATCAATTGTTAAAACTCTATGCGTTCAGACAGCGTGACAATAAATTATGTATAATAGTGCTTATAAAAATACACATGCGTATCAGCTATTTGCAGGCTCTTGAAAATGGATTAGGAACAAATGATTAATAAAACAGGCGCCGCTAATTCGATACAATAAATAGTAATTTGGCTTGAATAACTGAAACGCTAATTTAACAGCGTATAGTTCGAGTTCGCGTAACCTGTTTCACCTCAATCAGTGAAAATGGGTCAAAGAGAGATTGCTATGACAGACAAAATAAACCAGACGCACGTCCACGGTATTCTCATTCCATATATGTCCACCGAGTATCTATTAATCTAATCGCACTGCATGACATTTAAATTGATTGCGAACCACTTCTATTAATCTTCGGAAGTCATCCAACCTAGAGTTACAATCATTGAAACCTACTATCTTAATGATCTTTAGACACATTCACAAACTTTGTTAATTGTTAACATCTTCTAATTTCTTACCTAACCAGAACGTCTGTCACACATTCTAAAGAAGTCTTATAATTAATACGATTGAAGATCAATATTATAAAAAAAGAATTTTGATGGCGTTCGACACTGACTACTATTACCGTTTTACTAATTTATGTATGTGCATAGTAACAAAAAGTGTGAATTAAAAATGAAGACTGCAAAGAGGATTGGTAGAATTTTAGGTTTTTTTTCGGGAGAGCATCCATTAGATATAACGTGCGGGTGCAGTGACGGTCGCGAACGAGACGATAAATTTCTTATGCGCCAGCGGCGTAGCCTAGCACTCGCGTACAAGCGACGAGGCCAGTTTATCCATCGATTTATTTACCGCTTTCCAGGCGTCCCGAGGTTCTTTTTGGCCGCCGCGCCGAAACGAATGGCTGAGGCAACGACAAAACGAAAAGGGCGGACGAATTTTTAGCGGTGCCTGCCATCCCGCTGCTGCACGCCTCGATGAAATATCGGCGACAGAGAGGAAACGGAGGGGCGAAGAAGGAGAAGAGAACCGACGGATAGAAAAGTAATAATCGTACGTTTGCGTTTATGGGCGGGGAAAAGCTAACACTGTAACGAGCTTGCACTTTCACGGATTTTTGCGAACGCGGTTCGAGAGAGGCTCGCTGTTGCCTTTAATACATACGCCCGCGGAATTTGGAAATGGAACGATCGCTCGCCTGGATAAAAGTAACAAGCGCAGATGTTGTGGGTGCACTCGTTTGTATTTTGTTAGGAGTATAAAGTAGTTGCTTTGATCAAAGTGAAATACTAAATGCGTCTTTCTTCGTAAAGAAAAGTTGAAATAAATACTTAAATCAATCACTTATTAATTACAAATTCCACTTTAAGGATGTATTGGCTATACAGTCAATCCCAAAAGTTTATGTACCTCAGAAAAACGCATTTCCTATAATTAAAAAGAAATCAGACGTCGGAAGAATAATGCTAATAATAAATAGCTACGTGCTAAAAAGTATAGAAGGAAATATCCAATTAAGTATTGACACTGATGAAAAATTTTTTTTTCAAAATTGCGAAAAATGCTTCAAATAAAAGTTGTTTTTTTTCTAATTTCGATATTTAACGAGTTACGTATGATAAATTCAGAAAATTACATTCAGATAAAAGGAAAGAAGAATTTATTGGAAATTTGTAGCTTACAAAATACTTTATGTCGTTGTAAGTTTACGACGGGAGTAGAAGGGGCTAATAGTTAATTGATCGAATTAAACGTATTTCGCGTCGGCAGAATTAGTCGCAGGTGACGGGCATCGTTTTAACAAAGAGTTGCCACGGGTGCGGCCCTTCTTAAAGCTGAAGAAACCAATTCTGTCTGTACAATTCTGCAGCGGGGCGATAGACATGGGCGAGGTCAAATAGAAGACAGTGTTTCGAAACTTTGTCCGGGAGAAACTTTCTCTTTGTACGACCGGGTCAATTAGACAGAATTCGTCGAACTTTGTTCGTATGGCAGATACCTATTCCGTCCAACTGCCGCGCAAGGCGTTGCGACTTTTCACCGAGAAACTGCGAAAACTATTTTCCCCCGAGGAACCTAAGCCTGATTACGTTTACATCCCTTGACACAAACAACAGCTGCCCGCCTCAAGCGGCGTTAACCCTTGCCCTTTGTCAATCAAACTAATTCGTATTAACGAAGAAAGATAATTACGATAAGATGTTGGAAATTTTATAAACGTTTAATATAATGCCATATTACTAGATTAATGAATTTTATGAAAATCTCATTAAAAAACGTTTAAGCTATTAACTTTTCCTTAAAGAACGATAAAAACACTACTTTCAATTTGTGTAGGTTCAAGGGTGTGCGTTAAGAGGAGAGCGAGGATCAAAAGCGACGGATTGAGGTGCATTTTAATTTAATTTATTTATTCAGCGAAATTAAAGGGAGATCAAAGAAGTCCTCGCTGTGAATCACGCAAGGGACCTTGAAATTAGCACGGGAACGCGAAACCATCGTCAAAAGCGGAAGCTTCCACATCATTCTGAAACTACCGCTAAGACCACAATGAGTACGCTAAGGGGAGATACTGTCCTTTGTAGTACAAAGCTCCATACACCATTTTAATTAATCTCGTTAAAATTAGTTCTTCTAGAATCAAAGGTACGAGGAAATTCTGTATAGTTGATTTGATGTTTCAGTAGATGACGACACTAACTCTACGACACCTCTGTTCATTAGGCATATGTCTAAGTCTCTCGTTAGATACTGAAGATTGTTCAACTTGCTCACTACTACTAGCTCGCAAGGAATTAAAATAGTATTAGAACTGTATGAAGAACCTTTCTAATAAAAAGAAAAAATATACAGAAATTATTTAAGTTACTTATATGTAATTTTGTTGAGATAGTCTCTGGTGAATATATAAATCAGCTCGTAGAGTATTCATCCTCATTATGTATTTTGCTCGGCTACTGCCACGTAGACAAACTGTGAATCGATTTAATAGTTTCGACCTGTCTGGATTCAGACCAGGGAACAGTAGCTGGCAATAATTAAATCTCGCGTGACTCTCGAAAAGCTGAAATTGGTATTTCGTTACCTCTAAAACGTTTCTCAATTGCTCGTGTACAAATTACAATAATTGCAATTCCATACATTTAATGTTGTAATTACTAATATTAATATACCATATGTATTACATCAAACAATTATTAATTTTATTCAGATAATATATAAAAAAAAAATATATTAAACTCCAGTGTCTTATTAAAATTATTTTCTCCATGTTAATAAAACGAATTAAATAAAGGAGATCCTATTTTACACAGAGATCAAATTACTTCCGAAAGGTCTTTAACTTTTCTAAGAACACCAGCAACGTGGGGCGTTAACAGGGTTAACAAGGGATTATTTCTTCTACCGACAAATCAGCTCGAAAGCGCAGTATCGACACTTAAATGTGGATCGGTGGAGACAAAGGTAGCGTCTAAGGAAACGTCTCTAAAAACGTTCAATTTCTGCGAAAGAATCCTATCGCGAACAGCCAGTTCCGCCGCAAAATTCCGTTGAACTTGCTTCGTTCCTCGTCCACCGTGAGGCAAGTTCAAATACCCGGAGACTCGTGACCGCAATCACTTCTCTGTCCTTGGATTACCTTGGTCTGAGCAGTTTATAATTTTCTCCCGCAATGGAAACGAACATTTTCCTCCTCTTTCACCGCCTCGCCCTTTCCCCATCTTCTCGCCCTTTTCGCTTTTACCTTATAACCGGTTGCGCTAAGCACATTGTTATTGAGATCAACAAGAACAGTCTAAACACCAGTCTTCTAGAAAATCTCTCCTCGTAACGTTTAGGTATGGTTTCCAGTTTGCTGGCGTCACAAACGTCTATAATAAGCTGTACTTTTATTACGGAAATCGAATTTTTTTAGTCTCTCTATGTATGATTAATAAAATACTGTTATTGAACATTAGATCACAGCATGTATGGCAACTGCAGCTGCAACTTCCGTCTGAAAAATTGTTCGCTCGAATAAAGAAAAAATTTTTACAATAAATATTGTTCTTGATTACTCTTCCACAAAACAATCCTATATAAAGTAGAATAGATATTGAAACTTGAGAGACGTATGTGAAATTGTATTTCATTAATTTAATGTATGAGCCAACTAATGTTGAAATAAGGAAAATATTTGATTTAATTTTGATTAATAAATGAATGATAGCAAATCTTGATACTTTTATTTCGCGATCCTTTACCAAACATGTATATATATACTTTTGCATCACACATTTTACCAACACACCTAGCTATAATGTAACACATTTAACAATGTTAATTCAAGTGTATAGAAAAAAATATAACGCTTTATAAATGAACACGGCGGTATCGTGTACGACTGGCTCGTTTCGCCAAGAACAAAAGTTGTTCCATTATCACGGAACTCTCCAGTTTTTGCCAGCTACGTGCACCAGCGAGCATATTGCAGCTCAACTGCATTTGATGCATCGTAAGCACAATATGGTTCTAGTTCAATTGCAACCTGTGGGACCAGTTTTCCGTGGTGTTCCAACGTGCAGTAAGTCTACGGGTCAGTTGCGGTACAGCGAGCGGCCATTACCACCGTGGTAAACAGACCAATGGAGAGATATTGAAATCATTCATTTCCCGGCTACAAGGCCTGTTGGAACCATGAATAATGCGACCTTAACAATGTAAGAACGAAACAACCAGCGAGTGATAAATTGATGAGATGAAACAAAAAACATGTCGAGCATAAAAAAATTCAAGGAAATCGTAAGACATGAAAAGAAAATGAATGACTGACTGATTTCTATAAACGAATAGTGTCTTTTACTTAATAGCATGTATGATAGTTCAAAGTTATACAAGTTCTATTTTAATTCTGGTATACGCAAATGGTTAGCTTTTTCTAAATAGCATTAGTTTCTTCCGGTGCAGTCGACGCTGAGATGATAATTAAATTGCTTCGAGCATCGTTCACTGTACATCAACGCGGAGTTATATTGTCTCATGACTACACAGTTGTTTGCCAGATTCTAGTAACCGTTGAGAGAGAACGCAAGGGTATCGCTTAACACTGTGATTATAGTTATAACGAAGCGGCGCGAAAGTTATCACGTAAGATTTCACGTAAAGTTCTTATTAAATTTTTTAAGAAGCAAATAATGGATACATTATGCCTCTGTCTATTGTTGTTACAACTGTGTACGTTAACTTCGTCCCAAGTGTCGGGCCTAGATTCGCCATTTTTCCTGAATATTTATCACCAACTTCGTAATTCGGTGGCTGAAACTGTCGGTATGTAAACTTCATTATTTTATATAATGTTTTTTTTTTTATGAACTGCATAGCGTCTTGAAAATTAATAGCTTAAAAAAGTGCGACATGAAAAATATGTTTTTCCACTGAGAATTCATGTACGTGTCATCGTTGAATCAATAATTATTTATGAATTCACAAGTCATCAGGTGACGAAGAATAGACTTTACTCAAACCGGTCCGTACAATTTCTTAGTCCGAGACAATATGAATATTAATTATCTTTAATATATTCATCATTTACAATCATTAACAGAAAATGATAATGAGCGACTGTTGAATTTTTAGGCAAAGATCTGATACGGACATATACAGGACCCTCGGGAAAAGTTCAGCAAGAAATACCTATAAATGTTCCTTTCCCTTGCAACGTGACAGGTAATTAAACAATCTTTAATTTAATGGTATTTAGAAATCATTTTGTTCATCAGATATTTTCCATACATAACATGAATCTGGATATACATGCGGTCAAAGTCGTGAATGAGAACTAAATCATGAACATAATATTCGAACCGCATCAAATTCAACTGTGTGAGTGGAAACCGACCTACATTCAAATTCTCAAATTACTCACAACAATAATCACGAATTAGCATGTCATAATTTTATGTATAGAAAATTGTGAAATTTTTATTAGGCGGCCGATCGGCCGAAGTTCCTGACTCGATCCATCGTCTGAGACCGGGCGACATAGACGTTGTCGCCGCGATGGGCGATTCTTTGACTGCCGGCAGTGGAGCGTTTGCGATTAACTTCTTTCAGACCCTGATTGAAAATAGAGGCGTGGCAGGGAACATTGGCGGTGAAGCAACGTGGCGAAAATATCTGACACTACCTAACATTCTCAAAGTACGCTTAAACGTAACGATAAGCGGAAAGTATTAGCAGTTACATGTGAAAAATGAAGAAGAAATCAATTTATTTAAATCCCAATTATATTTTCAAAAAAATTAACCATTTTCTTTATGTAGGAATTTAATCCCAAGTTAACTGGGTATGCATACGGAGATTCTTACATTAATGATCCAAAATCGGGACTGAACGTAGCAACCATAGCTGCCATCTCTAATGACATGCCTTTCATGGCCAACTATTTGATCAATAAAATGAAGAATGACACAAAGGTTGATTTAAAACATCATTGGAAGGCTGGTATTTTTAATAGAATAATTATGTTTATAAAATAATAAATTAATTTTATTTTCGTAAATACACTATATGAATCATATATTATTTTTATGATAATTCTTGTTTTCTAGTTGATCACGTTGTTTATTGGAAACAACGATATTTGTAGCGTAATGTGCTCGCTACCTTCCCCGCGGTCTATTGTAGAAATGCATAAAAAAAATCTAATTAAGACTCTCAGGATATTAAGAAACAATTTACCGCGGACCTTCGTTGCCATTCAATCGATGCCTCATCTAGAAATAGTGAATGAGATAGAAGAAGGAAGATTATCACTTTTGATATACCTAATCAAAAATGTTTACTGCTCGTGCCTGTTTGGTGAGCAGTACAAGGATCAAAGACCAGAATTCTATGATATGATCGGCAGGTCTACATAATTCAATATATTAATCTAGTTTATATGTAATAAACTTTTATACACATAAATAACCGATTTGTATAATGTATTCTTCAACTTTATTATCTGTAGATTTTTGTCTAATTTACTCTTGTCTGTCAGATGGCACAAAGCAGAAGAAGAAATCGCCGAATATCCAGAGTTTCATAAAAATGATTTCACAGTGGTTGTCTTACCCACTGCGAGGAATTTGGACATACCTCGTGACGCCGACGGATTTATGGATTTATCATATCTATCCGCCGATCATTTTCACGCAAGCCAGAAATCTCACGCGCTATGTAAGTAGCCAAAATCCAACGCAATCAATTTAATTATTATATGAGTATTATTGTTTACTTGAATATTTTGTTTCATGAAAAGTTGGAAACGGCCTTTGGAACAATTTACTAGAACCAATCGGTAATAAAACAGATCATTTTATTCCATTGTTCAAGAAATTCTTGTGCCCTACCGCGGACAGGCCGTTTTTGGTAACACGTGAGAATTCACGGTTGAGAAATAAACCTGGAGGATAGATAATGACAACTAGTATGAATCATGAACGTACCTTCCGTTTATTGATCTAATTATGATATTTCTTGACGGACAGTGAAATTATTAGGTAACACTTGATTGCATCCTGTCATTTGAAGTACGAAATTATTGAAACTACTAATGATTTATTTTTACATTTATTATATGATTATATTTATATCGTAATTATTACTAATTTATTATACTTGATAATTCTAGTACAGTGTAATTAATATTTATATTGATAAAGCAGAATTAATTCATCATTTAATGTTTTCGAACGCCTGAGTTGAGAGTCCTTGATTTTTTATTACTCAATAATAAGTAGATCAATGAATGTAATTGTGACGGTCAGCTGAGATTTAATTAGCAGTACGAAGGTCTTTACGTTTATAAGTATTTGAAATCGCACACTACGGGTCGAGAGAACGAACTGCATTCTGTCTAGTATTACTGTACCTTTAGTTGCAGTAAGACAGAAAACGGGAATAGCACAACGTTCCTCGTTCGCCACGGTTTTACACAAAGCGGTGGTGGTTTGATCTTTTTTAACAATGGACAAAGTGTACTTTTGTATTCTGTTGCTATCGTGCGTATTAGTCGCGTGTGAAAGAACGAACTCGGTCTACCCGCTAGACACGCCAGCTCTTTTGCAGATGTATCGTCTATCGCGCGCTTGGTTTTTCCAAACCTACGGTACGTATGTCCTCATATGTATCACAAATGATATTTTGTCATAGTTAATTAAATTTAATCGTAATTCATGTGACTGAGTTCTTCATGTTTCATTGCAAGTGTTTTAATTATTCTTAGATTCTCGTTACGGAGATGTAGTTAAAAATTATTTTGCAGGCCGAAATGAACAACGAAGTTATTCAGGAAAAACGGGGAGAGTTCAAGAAGAGATTCCGTCGAACGTACCTTTTCCTTGTAACGTGACAGGTGCTTAAAATCATGTTAAGATTTCAATTTTAGTTCAATAGATTTCTCCTAACAATTGTCGTGCAGATTGATGTCGTGATGAGAAATTACGTGCAGATGGTATTTGTAATCGTGTAATTATTATATAAGGACTCAATGTATTGAATGAAATATTAGGTGGTAGATCAGCGAAAGTGCCTGACTCGGTAAATCGACTGAGGCCAGGCGACATAGACGTTATCGCCGGGATGGGCGACTCTTTGACTGCCGGACATGGACTATTCGCAAGAGATTTGCTAGAATCCCGTATTGAAAATAGAGGCGCGTCAGGAGCCATTGGTGGTGAACGAACTTGGCGAACGTACCTGACGCTCCCTAATATTCTCAAAGTACGTCCATAAGTATAATCTGAGTTATAGATTCTTTTTGACGAATAATATAACGTTTTACGTAACAGGAATTTAATCCAAATCTAATAGGCTACGCGTTAGGAGATTCTCAAACCATCGAACCTAAGTCACAATTAAATGTCGCTGAGATCGGAGCAATATCCAAAGATATGCCTTTCATGTCTAAACATCTGGTGGACAAAATGAAAAACGATTCGAGAATAGATATTAACAGGCATTGGAAGGTTTGTGTTAACCAGTCGTGAATAATTGATAAAAAATTCCTGTATTGTTTATAGAAATTACTTAAAAAATTCAGGATTGTATGAATTGGTGGAAAATAAGAATTTACTGGTGCCTTGCAGATGATATCATTGCTCTTTGGTTCAAACGACTTTTGTACTAATATATGTACAGATCCGCCTTTGTCCAGCGTAGAAAGACACAGAACCGATCTGGTTGAAGCGCTTAGGATATTAAGGGACAATTTACCGCGAACTTTCGTTACTGTCAACGTGTCTCCTCACTTAAAGATACTGGTCGATGCGAATAAAGAAAGATTTTCATTGAAATGCTACTTATTGTCAAACCTTCAATGTCCGTGTTTATTCGGCACGCAATACAAAAATCGAAGAGAGGAGTATTACGATCTAATAAGTAGGTCTGTACAGGACTTTTTAATGCGTTTCAATTACTGTTCTTCGTATTATAAGAATAATATAAGGATTTAATATACTGGTTGATTATTTATTTATCAGATGGCAAGAAGTAGAGGAAGAAGTAGTTGCCTATCCAGAGTTTCACAAAAATGATTTCACGGTAGTAGCCTTGCCCACTCTTAAACGTATACAACTGCCGCTTGCTGAAGATGGATTAGCTGATCCGTCATATTTATCCTCTGACTGTTTTCACGTGAGCCAAAAAACTAACGCGTTGTGTAAGTATAGAAGTGAGAAATGTGACATAAGCGGTTTTACATATTCATTAACATACATGCTTCATGAAACCGTAGATGCCAATGGTCTGTGGAACAATTTACTGGAACCAGTGGGCAACAAAACCAATCATACGTACCCAATATATGAAAGATTCTTGTGTCCTACCGAAGACAGACCGTTTTTTATGACACGAGAAAATTCCCCTAACAATAATGAATTTAGAACATCACAGAAAAAGAACAATTAGTAACAAAAAAATGTATTATAATAAAATTGTATATTTCTCCTTGCAGTTGCTTAATTTATTTAATAGCTCAACTGTGACTGTTTAAGAACATTACACGCCACACGTAATAAATGCAAACATTATGGTTTCTTTTTTTAAGCAAATGACTCGTTGACGGACTACCGACCTTTGTAGCTATCGTTAAATTTCATTACGAGTACCTCAAGATTTTGTGTAAAGTCGACTTACGATCAGACGGTAGTGATCTCTGAGACACGTGAGGAGAACATCGTTTTCAATCTTTTTAAGCTCCAGCTAACGTAGCAAACAATGGTTAAACTGTTTCTGTGTATTTTGTTCCAATTGTGCATATTGACTGTGTGTCAAAGGTCAATTTTAGAATCGCCACCTATTCTGGATACGTTTCGCCATTATCGTTATTGGCTTTTCCGAACGTTTGGTATGTCATTACATATTTTTTTTTTTGAGAATGAATTTACAATTTTCGATTCTTAATTTTTAAGAAGAATTATATATGAAGAT